CGCACTCAAGACCGACCCGACCCTCTGGTCCAATATACGATCCGCCTGGTGGGGATTCCCCAACGTGCCCCGTCTGTGAAGATCGGAAGGGTTTCTGTAGCCATTCAGCCCAGCAATTTCCGGAGCCATTTTCAAGGACCCTTTTCGCGCTTCCTCTCTTGAGCCCTTCCTTTGTTCGGAACATGTCCCTCACGACAGGTCGTTCCTGGATGAGTCTCGAGAGCATGAGCGGGGAGGCGACGCACAATATTTTCTTTGCCTGCTGGGCTTTCTCTACCCCTTCGTTGTAAGCATGCCGCTTTAGGCCCTCATCTGGATGTCCAAAAAGGCCAGTCAGTCTTCTGAGGGTTTTCTTTCCCCAGTTTCATGGGTCAGATTGCTTGTTCTTGATGCGTTGTGATTAGGGCACTCCTTGTCGCTGGGGAATATTTTTGCAAAATACGAATTCCCCGTCCCCCTTCTCCCCCCCTTCTCACAACAAACCTCCCAACGACGCGCAAGAAACAGGAGAAATCAACTGTCAAAAAAATCTCTCGGACTAAAGAGACCCCCCCCCCTTCGTGCTGGGACACCTCATTCCCGAACGACTCGTCCTGGTCGTGATGGGAGCTAAGCTCGTGCATTTTATTCCAGGCATGGCCTGGTTTTACCCTCGTAATACTCTAAGGCCATTTTATCCCATCTTCAGGTCATTTTCAGATCAATAAACTCTACCAGTGCTCATCTCCATACGACCAGCCGAAAACGACCACAGCAACCGCTACAACGACGCAATCGTCTCCTAAAGGACGTGAGTTACTATTGATCATTCTTTGGCTTCTAATCGATTATCGACCTCTCCCTTCGCGCTATTGGGTTTCGATCTCGGCGATCTGCTGTCATTCGAATAAAGAACCCAACAAATAGTGCGGCTCCAGCTGACACTCAATTGTCTTTTCGAAGGATATTGCTGACCGCATGGTGTAAATATTGATTTATCGAATCTCAATGACTTGGAATTGCGAGATCTTCAGATCTATTTTCTTGAGCCGGGAACAAAAAAGTGTTCCCAAAGTGTTTGGCCCTTGTCTACGATATCCCTCTTTGAAAAAATTTTGCAGTACACGGACAGACCGGGGGAAGGGGTAGATAGTAGGTGCGTCGCTGTTCACTTGTGCGATCCATGAAATCGAATCTTATCCAGACTACGTTAGCCTTCGATGTTTTTTTTGAGACCACGCTTCAAGTCTAGATCTGCTCGCTCTAATGAATTATTTTTGCGGCACCCACTGTTTTCTATCATTCATTGGCTGTATTGGCCCAGCAGGTATCCTAGTATTTTAACACTTTTAAACAAAGGTTTGAGGAACTTCCCTTTTTGAGGGTGCTCCTAAAGGCCTTAGAGATCTCTGAACCCTGAAGACCCCTGAACCTCGAAGAGTTTGATTGGATTTGGAAGCGTTATGACCACTTCATTCGGTAAG